GTGGATAGGCAATAGATAATATCTACAACTGAAGAATCAAAAAATAATAGGGTGAGAAAACTATAAATATGGAGGAATATACAGAAGAAACAGCTCATAGTTGAAAATAGTTATCTCTAAGGAGGAGGTATTGAGGGCTAAAAGATATACAGTGTGGCAGTGTTGCTTATGTTGAAAGACTTGAGCAGTATACCTGAATTTTTTAAAGCCCTGCCATGTTTGAATTAGATATTTTAAAAAGATAGGAAGCCAAAAATAGCAATCTTTTTATACCCCCAAAGACATTGGTAATATCATAATTAATGATATTTTTCTACAAAGCTCAAAACAGTATCAATGCAAATATTCTTTTAAAAGAAGTATGTGGGGCGCCTGACTGGCTCAGTCAGTAGAGCATGTGACTCTTGATCTCGGGGTATGGATTTGAGCCCCACATTGGATATAGAGATTGTTTAAATAAATACAAAAACTTAAAAAAAAAAAGAATTCAAGGCCTTTTATGTTCTTCATAGTGCTGTTCTAGAGTTGTAAATAATTTGGCTGCACCTAATGATGGATTATTATGCTAGAGAATATTGCCTGTGTTTGTAATGCTTACGGTTCTTAGATTTAAAAAAAACACCTTTTTATTGAAGTATAGCATATGTATTGAAAAGTATAAAGATCATAAGGGTATGTTTTGAACTATCAAAAAATGAACACACCCATAAAGTCATCACCCAAGAAATAAAATATTATCAGTATCTTAGGAGTGCTACTTATGACCTCTCCCAGTCACCCCTTATTATATATTTTCAATCTATCCAATAGAAATAAACTGTAGTCTTTAAAATTATATGTCCTGGGGTGCCTGGCTGGCTCAGTTGGTAGAGCATGTGACTCTTGATCTCGGGGTTGTAAGTTTGAGCCCCACGTTGGATGTAGAGATTACTTAAAAATAAAATCTTAAAAAAAAAATTATATGTCCCAGTTAGTGGCATGATGAATAGAATGGAGCTTTAATAAGTACACAGGATTGACTCTTTTGAAAAACTCTATTTGAAAAGTTAATTATATGGGGCACCTGGCTGGCTCAGTTGGTGGAACATGTGACTCTTGATCTTGGGGTTGTGATTTTGAGCCCCATGTTGGGTGTAGAGATTATGTAAATAAATCAATAAATCTTTAAAATAATAAAAATAAAAATTATAGCTGTAATACATTTTTTTTTCAAGTTTCATGTTTCAGTTTGAGAAAGTTTGGAGCAGTCAGTCACTAGGGGGCAGCCTGTACTGCTTCCACTACTTTAGAAACAGTTGTATCCTTTTGTTAGTAACTAGAATTATTTTGCAAGGAGGGAAACAACTATTACTTCAAAGAAAAAGATATTTCAGTATTCACAGATAAGAATTAAATGGGTACGATTATTTGGTTTTCCTGTAATTCAATTGCAAGGACAGAGTTCTTGGTTAAATCACTCTCAACATCTGCGAAGCCTTGCTTTTGCTTTTGGACCCGACCCCCCGCCGGAAGAGCACCTGAATTTGAATGGGTTTTGAAGGTTTTTTGAGTCTAAACAAGCTTCAGTTAACTTAACCATACGTATGTTTCCTCTAATTTTCTCTTCCTCTCCTGCAAATTTCCCCCAAGCACCATACTAGCTTCCAGCTAAACTGGGGAAAAGAAAGCAATAGCTCAGAAACAGGGCATTTTTTTTCCATCCTCTTATTTCATTTGGCATTGCTTAGTGGCAGTTCCTTTTGGTAGCACCCTGTGAAAAATATCAGAGGAAGTGTGAAAGAAAAAAGTTAGTCTTCCTTGATTTCAGTTTTTTTTTTTTTACTACTCCTTTCCTCATGCCCTTGTAGTTTTGTGTAAATCTTTAAATTAGATTGATAAACCTTCCAATTCCTGCATGTCCCTAGAATAGATGAACTCATGTCCAGATACTTTTGAACTTATTTATTTATAGTAACATAAAAAGATTGTTTCTGTCCTTGCCTACCCGCCCCCTAACCCCAGTCCTGCTGTATCATATAATACAGTTTGGCTTCTTATTCTCCAGAACTTTTTACCATAATCTAATGTTATTTCTTCTTTTCCATAGATAGAGACATAGGGATCTACCAGTATTATGACAAGAAAGACCCACCAGGTAAACTGTCTATTCTACTCAACTAATTTTTATAAATGAAATATTCTAAACTATAAAATACTGACCATTAACTCTTTTTTTGAGCTTTAGATAAATTCTAAAGTTAAAAAAAGTCATTTCAGTTCTTTAGAAAAATGCTGAGGTTGAAATCTGTTCTATATAAAATAAAGCAATATCGAGAAAATACTGTAGAGGAACATGAAAATTTTCATTTTACTGCCGATCCAACTGATAACTGGACAGTCTATTCACGTTTATCTATCAGTGTCCCAGTAGAGGGCATTGTTAATGCATGGGTCCCACTGTTGCTGGCCTCCTGGATCCTTACCTGATATCTGAAATAGGCATTTCTGAGTGAATGATCAATTTTCTTTATCTGATTAATCCTGTTAATCCCAGAAGTTTCGTGATGGGCCAAAAGGTCTTTCTAGCTAGTTACTTCCTGTTTTGGTCTCTGTTGAAGTGGGGCTTGTGTGGGCATCCTGTGTGCTTAGCTTGGTGGTTAATAGGCTAACTTCATGATTCTGATGACAGCCTGAAGCAGCTTCTGTCTAGACTCCATTGCAGTTCTTCTCTTCCCTATCTGATGAGATTGTGAGCTCAGGATATTGGCCCACCTGTTGTGCTGTGTAAGCCTTTTTACTACAAATTTAGGAAATACTCAGCAATGTGCATAATATACATTATATGTGTGCATTTAAAATACAAAGTATTTTAATTAAAATAATTTGCACTTTTCTTCTTTCCTTCTTTCTCCTGCCATAGTATCAGTGACAGACCATGGTAACTTAGAAGAAAAGCAGAAGCTGGCAGAATGTAAGCTTACTTTATACTTTTTTGTAATTATTATAAAACTGGAACTTGAATATCCCTGAAGATTCAGTCTTAAAAAATATTTTAAGCTTTCTGCACAAATATCTTAAAATTATAAATTCCCATCATTTAGGTATATAAACATATGAGTGAGAATTATATGTGGTAGGCATTTCTAATTTAGACCATTGAAATCTCTATCCAGTTTTGATAAGATATATGCCTGTGTAAACATAAACTTTCTTAATGAACTATATTTATATCATTTAATATATTTAAAATAAGTGTATCATACTTAAATTCTGATAACATTTTGTTACACACACCGTGCCTAAATTGTTTATATGTTTTACCCATTTTAAGAAAATAAAACTTGTAAAAAAAAATTTGTAATGACTAGTATTAGCATTTTATTCTTTCTCGTCTTTTCTGTTCTCGGATATATAGATATAATATGGCTACAATGAAAGATGGCTTTAATGACTTGAAATTAAATATAATTTAACTTTTATTTGGAATACAGGTGGAGCTGAAAGTCCTACTTGTTCCCTTGTTTTAAATGGGCAAGCTGACATTTTTTTTCAATGCTATATTAGTAACTACAATATAAATTTAAAAACTTGCATATATGCTATATACATCATACATTATGTTTATAGAATGAAATTAATTTGCTGAAATAAGATATATAGTAATTCTACTGTAAAATTTAAATGTCTGTATATACTATGAGTATGCACACAGAACATACACACATACATACAACTCTTTTTTTAGAATTATTATTTAGGAGAATTCAAAGATGAATTTTCATGATGAAATAGATATGGTTAAATGAATTTAACATTTTCTTTGAAAGAAAACTATTTTTAGTTTGTCTTAGGCTAATATTGAGATTTTACTAAATGATTTTATCTTTTAAATGCATTTAAAACAAAACAAAGGCTTATCATTATTGAATTGTGTACATTTCAAAGAGGATCATTTTAAATAAAAAAGTTTTAATAGGTGATGCTTCCTTTTAAATTTATATTCTGCGCATCATATTTTGTGTTTTATTTCTTTCCTCAGTGTATCCATTCACTTGTAGGAATTTTCAGGTCTGAGAGAGTTATTTGCAGATTTTGGAATTTCTTTTGGATTGAACTTTTAATTATTTATATGGGAAAGTTATTCTCTGGTAAAGAGTTGGTCATTTACAACTAGGTACTAGATTCACAAGACTAGGAAACTTTCCCAGGGGTTCTCTGAGCCGTGTTGGTTGTCATCATAAAATTATGATCACCAAGATTGTTTTGTGGTAAAAATCCTGTTCCTATGACAAAGCCTTTCAAAAGGCTGTTATTTGATGATGGAAATGAAGCCCACTTCCTCTCAATTAAGGAGGTGTTTTATTTTAATCCTCCTAAGGCACACTGCTAAGCAGAGTTTCCTTTTTAAATCTTGTTTAACTAACTGTAGTACATATTTCATTTGCCAGCACGAGATTATCCGTGGACACTCAAAAATAGACGCCCAGAAAAACTTCGAGACTCACTCAAGGAGTTGGAGGTATCTTTCCAAAAGTTTCAAAAATGGCAACAAACAAATCTGTTTTAAAACATCTTTCAACAGTTTTAATTTTCATAAAGGATCAACTCTCCTAGTGATGATAGCTTTGCTTTTGTCTACTGAGGAGTTCCAAAACAGTTGCATCTTTGTGTGGCATGCTGATCTTTTTTTTTTTTTTTTTGGTGCTTGCAAATCAGAAGCACTCTGATAACAACAATGTGTATAGCCAACTGCACTCTCTCTTTTTCTGTTTCCTTCAGGAATTGATGCAAAACAGTCACTGTGTGCTGAGCAAATGGAAGAACAAATATGTCTGTCAGGTAAAATGGTTTGACATACTTTTGCAGTGTTTAACCAATGGAGCTGAAAACTATGCAGTAATTGGTATTCTTGTGTTTATGATAGATAATGGACAAAAACTTTTTAGGAGTGGATATTTCATAGTTTGAATTCTAGTCATTCTAGAACTAACATTAGACAGATTGACACACCCACCAGGCTGCCTCATTAATCAATATAGTTGTACTGACACTATGAACACTAATAAAAATGGTATTTTTTGTTTAGATTTGTCTGAATGCTGTATTAGATGTTTCCTGGCATAGATTTAATCATATTTTTGAGTGAAGATAAAAGCACAGGACAGAAGGTTTTTTGGCATATTACTCTAATAAGCATTTGTGAGTACCATGCTTATGGAAACCAACAAGCAGACTAGAGTTAGACCTAACATAAGACATTTGCTCTTATTTTTTGAACCCTCTAAGTTGTGCTGTTTAATACAATAGCCACCAGTCACCTGTGGTTATTTAAAAATAAATTTAAACTAATTAAAATTAAAGAAAGTTAAAAATTCAGTTCCTCAGTTACACTACCCACATTTTAAGTGCTCAATAGCCACATGTTGTCATATATAGATAAAGAACATTTCCATCACGGAAAGTTCTGTTAGCACAGTTAGGGCCTAGACAACATGAGCTGCATGTTGAATGGGTCTAGGTTCAGGACATAATAATTAGTGACCATTGATCAGAAAATAATGGACAAATGCCTTAGCTTTGTTTATAGGCTTAAGAAATACTAGTTGCCTAGAAAAATCTTACTTGTTTGTGATTAAAAGAATCATTAGTCATATTCTATTCATGCGTGTAATTGAAGTTACATTAACACTACTAATAATTATAACTGTTTTATGGAATTGAATATCCTATATGAATTTAAGTTCTTACTTGTTTATAATGTGATTTATTTTAGGTCTAACTATTCTTGTTTGAAGTTTAGGCCTATGGGTCTATCCATAAATCTATAACATTGAATTTGTAATTATTATGAGCATATCTTAATTGAGTATTTGAATATAGACTATCATTTTAATGGACTCTAGTTTTTCCTCATTTTTTGTTTAAACAAGCCTACTTTTATTCATGAAGGTAACTAGTTACCTCCTCAAATGGCGTAAATTATTTTTTTCCAGAGACTGTTTGCAAGGCTGAATTAATATTATCAGCAGCATAATACTTTCTAAATTTGACTTAGGATTCTATCCAAAAGAATGAGATTATTTAAAAATTCATAATTTGTTTTCATTAAAGTTTTAATCAGACTTTAAAACTTTAATACAAAATATGCTCCAGGAAGTTTTAAACTTAGTACAACTCATTGTACGTCTCAATGCAATTACTCACCTTAAAAGCAAGCTCAAAATAATTTGACTGGAGGGCAAGCCTACTACCCATAGTAAGAGATCTGTCTTGTGGCCTCCACCCTTACCACTGCACAGGGTAAGTTGGAACATGTCAGGCATCTTAAAATATGCAGTGAAGCATCCCAGTATGCAATCCTTTTTATTTTTTTTTTATTTTAATTTTTTAAAAAAGATTTTATTTATTTGACAGAGAGAAAGCACACAGGTAGGGGGAGAGGCAGAGGGAGAGGGAGAAGCAGGCTCCCTGCTTAGGGGCTCAATCCCAGGACCCCGAGATTATGACCTGAGCTGAAGTCGGATGCTTAACCGACTGAGCCACCCAGGCGCCCCTAGGCAATCCTTTATAAATAGATGTTATTGCATTTTAGTTTTTAAGCAAGTTTGTATGTATTTGTATATAGAGGAATAAGGAGGAGGACGTCCCTCATTATTACTTCAATGCAGAAAAGGAATTTTCATGATAGAATATATATAAAATTACTTCTGTAATTTATAGCAAACTGACAACAGTGGTTTCCTGGGCTTTTGTACCAATGAGTCCCTTTTAATATTTCCAATGAAGTGTCTCTTTCTGTATGTTCTGTCATATTTTGTGCTTTATTTGTGTGATTGATAAGTTATTCCTAAAATAGGCCTTTTACTACCAGCACATTCTTGATGTGATGGTATATTTTAATAAGATAACTTGACTTCCACCCTGCCCATCCTGATTAGTCCGCAAATCTTTAGGGCCTTTGAGAGACTTCCTAACATTATTTATCTACTTCCTCAATTTCTAAACAAGACTATGAGCTAACTCTTCTAAAAATATGTGTGTATGTGCATTATCATAAAGATCTCTAATATAGTAAATTAAAAATTTGGTGCTTAGTTTTTTAAAGGATCCCCTTAACCTTTTGTTAGTTACAAAATAAGTACTCCCCAATTTACTCCAGGGTCCTCCTTTTGTGAGGTGTGGTGGCTCCACCATAACACAGGCTTAAATTTCTATTAGTAGTTTTCCCCATATATTTAGCCCTAAAATGGTGACAACTGACCACAACATACTCTTAAAAGGGGGTGAAATTAAAGTTGGTGCTAACATAGTTGAACTCTCAGTCTTTGATTGTGGCCACTCCTCAACTAATGTAAATCTTTTACCCCCCAAAATGGCAAATTTAAGACTTACGGAAGTTATCTTGGTTTTCTTCTTTTTACGGGATCCTTATTTCTTCAAAAGGTCTAACTGTTTGGAAATCAGCCAGGCAACTACAGAGACATAAAGGATTTCAGAGGATACATTTTGAGCTTAGGTTTTTCCCTCTGTTGAATAATGAGATTTTATAGGTTGTCATCATAACCAACGCTTAGTTCATGTTGTTGATCCAATGACCTATAAATTATACCATTTAAAAATAATTCCTCCACTTGCAAATTCAAAAGTTTATAAATCAAGATTTACCTGTACATATGCTCTGTATGAAACTTGTTTTTTAAAGTTGTTTTTTCAGGCTATGCCTATTCCTAGTTTGAAATGCATTAAAAGTATGAGATGTAATTTAGAGATTTAGTTTCATAAGCTATCAAAATATCTCTCTCTTTTTTTTGGTTTTCCTAAAATCATTTTATTATAAGAAAGTGTTTAATAATTTCCACTTTGAATTTCTTAAACCATTTTACAAACTATTCATTTTATAAATATTTTACAAAGGGAATAATAGTTTTAGCATTCGGAGACTATTAAATTGTATACCACTATGGTGGAATTTTTAAATTCTTTTAATTATTGTGCTTTAAGTCACATTCATATTTACAGGTTATTGCATAATTTAAAAGCAAAGTTATTAAGATAGATATAACATCATATATGTCAATTTTAGATTAAATTATTTGAATCAAATATGTATAGTCAGCTACAAAAGTATATGATATAGTTAGCTGTACCCTGATTTCTTTCTGTAACAGTTCCACATTTCTGGATACAATTTTAAAATGCCAGTGGAGAGTCTGGGTTGCTCAGTTGGGTTAAGCGGCTGACTCTTGGTTTCTGCTTGTGTCATGATCTCAGGGTCCTGGGATGGAGCCCTGCATTGGGCTCTGTGCTCAGATGGAAGTCTGCTTGAGAATTCTCTCTCTCCCTCTTCCTCTGCCCCTCCTCCCACTGCTCATGCTTTCTCTCTCTATAATAAATATATCTTTAAAAAATGCCAAGAAAAGATAGTTTTCTTTTTTGGTTCGTATAATGAATTACTTGACATGCTATGTAAGAATATAAATTATTTTTTAAGCCTACCACAGATAAATTGTGAGTGCATGGAACTCATTTTATCATAATTTCCTCAGTTGTAGAGTTGATAGCATCATTAGCTGATCTTTCCTTTCATCAAATTGTATTGAAAATCAGTTTGGTTTTCTCATAAAATAATAATTGACAAACCATGACTTTAAGTTACAACTATTAGAAACAGCATATTACTTATATAAAACTTATTACACTGTATTTATTGAGTGCCACCATTATGGGATGCACTAAGGAAGTGTAAGATGTGGGCTGAGTCCCCAGTATAACCTAATGAAGGAATATAGATACATGAAATCACTAAGACACTAAAGAGTACTAAGTTGTAGGATACCAGGTAAAAAGATAATAAAGTTTAGTGAAAAGATAGTAAGAGTTTAGAGAGAAACCATAGAGATTAGCATGGCATTAAGATGTAGGATAAAACAGGAAAACTAGAGGCAGTTTGTATAAAGAACAAATGAGATAGGATAATTATTTTCTGGAAACACCAACCCAAAGGGTTTCTGGATTTGAAGATGCTAAGCACAATACATAGTAGAAGTGAGGTGGCTAGACTGAGAATAAGGGGATTGAGTGAGAGTCTGTATCTGGAATGGTGAGATCTTCCTCAGCTCTTTCCCCTCTCTAGCTGTGAGGTGTAAGTCTCTGTGTAACCTGTTTAAGGGATCCTTCTCTGAAAAAAAGTAGATTATTCCCCTCCCCCACCTGTCAACCCAGCACAATGGCTATAGATACTGATATTTGGTAGTTTCCTTTGAAAAGGTAGATGGGCCAACCAATATCCTTATAGTGGAGTTATAAGTTAATAAGCTTACCAATGCATAAAATGCTCTCATTAAATTTTTAAAGCAACTTACTTTTAAATATAACCAGAGAGCTAGAGATTATGATACTTTTGAAGAAATTCTCCACCTGTAAATCCAAGATCTTTGTGTGTGAGTTTTTTTTTAAAGATTTATTTATTTATTTGAGAGAGTGAGAATGAGAGAGAGAGAGAGTACATGAGAGGGGGGAGGGTTAGGGGGAGAAGCAGGCTCCCCACTGAGCAGGGAGCCCGATGCGGGACTTGATCCCGGGACTCCAGGATCATGACCTGAGCCGAAGGCAGTCGCTTAACCAACTGAGCCACCCAGGCACCCCTTTGTGTGTGAGTTTAAAAAAAACTAAAGATAAAGAATCAGGGACAGTGCAATAAACAACTAAATTCAGGGAATTAAAATTAACCCACAGAGATGTAAAAGGAGCTGTTGCATCTTTAAAACAAGAATAGGAACCTATTTTTAGCAAAGGAATACTTGGGGAAAAGGGAAGGGCCTCTTGGGAATTAAAAATAT